GCATTATGAAATACAAAGTTAAGTGTATGGGGAAGTTAAGAGATGAGGTGTCCTTAGAAGCCAGATTAAAACAAACCATGAGAACTAGAAATATACAGCTTAGTTAAAGAATCAACTTTGATATGGTACATAAGAAGAAAATGTATGAAGAGGATTTATTAAATGCACTACACCAAAATAAGGAATTTTTTGTTTTTTCATTTAGATGTTTACAAAATTAACATTAAAATTAACATGTATTTTAATTAATATATGTGCAGAAACCTTTTGAAGAAAACATCGCCAATGGTCCACAGGTTTTAAGGAAAAAACGTGCAGCTCAAGCTGAAAGAAATACATGTCAGCTTTATATTCAGACTGATCATCTATTCTATAAGCATTATGGAACAAGGGAAGCTGTAATTGCACAGGTATTTGTAAACCATGGCCATTATTTCAGGAATATGTTCTGTGCTCTTTTAAAGAAATATTGACAAATTTAATGTATTGTCATCCTGTATCTGCACCCTCACTATTAGAGATGATCTTTTCATCTGCTTTTGCCATCCTATCTCATTGAGGTCACTTTGTAATTAATTTTCAAAAAGACACCAATTGCCTAATATTTGGAGATGCTAAGATCTGAAGTTGTTGTTTTATTGTTAATGGGATCTATAGAGGCTAAGCAATTGAGAAAGTCAAGCCATGAGTTTATAAAGACACCAGTGCCTGCTCCTATACCAGGAGTTGGCAACCCCTGGAGTGTGCGCCAGAGCATGGCACATGAGATCATTTTGCTCAGCATGCCACAGACAGCCCCAGCTCTGGGCAGCTGCCACTAGAGACAGAGCCCGGGCTGCTTGCAACAGGCAGCCCCAGGCAGCTGCAAGCCCTTCTGTGAGCAACCCATGGTCTGTGGCTGGCAGCAGCTGCCCAGAGCCTGGGTTGGCTGCAGCCAGGAGGCTGCAAACAGCTGCACTGGACTTCGAAGCCCCAGACATGCTCTGTGGTGGCAGCAGGTATGTATGTGTCTCTGGGTGGATGACACGGAACAAGCCTGGGACAGTGTAACCCTGTCCCCTCCCCTGCCAACTACCCAGAGGCACACATGCAGCTGCTGCTGCCATAGTGCCAGTGCTGGGGCTCTGGAGTCCAGTGCAACTTTTTGCAGCCTGCCTGCCACCTGCTGCAGTTGCCCAGAGCTCAGGCCAGTTGTGGCAGGCAGCCGGGAGACTGCAAACAGCTGCACCAGGCTCCAGAGCCCCAGCTTGGCTCTGTGTCAGTGGCAGTTGCATGTGTAGCTCCAGGCAGATGGCAGGGGAGGGGCTGGGACAGAGCCTGGCTGAGGCTCTGGAGCACAATGCAACTGTTTGCAGTCTCTTGCCTGTACGTGGCCTGGGTTCTGGGCAGCTGCAGCAGGCAGTGGGCAGGCTGCAAACAGCCGCACCGGACTCCAAAACCCTGCCCCCAGCTTTGTCATTAGTAGCTTCATGTGCACTTTGGGGTGCAGGGTGGTGAAGGGGCCAGGGCAGCACAACTCTGGTCCCTCCCCCACCATCTGCCTGGAGGCGTGTGTGCACTTGCTGCCAGCAGTAAGGATCAGGCCCCTTGTGGCTTCCCTACAGTCTGCCCTGAGACATAGTTTCATGAGTCAGGGTTGGTGGTGTTTTTGGCATTTTGGCCAAAAACGTTGTCTACCCCTGTCCTATACAGACCAATTTAATAGCTGGTCAGAGAAGCAGGGGTATAAATCTAAAATATTTTCAGATGTTTCAAGTGAGAAACGTTTTTTTGTGGATGAAAATTTTAAAAGCTCACGTGTTCTCTTCTCTTAAAAGATGACCCATCATTGACATTTGTGTCTAATTTTACTGTATTCATTATACTGTACACAGATCACTCACTATGGATAATATTTATAAAGGCATTCAGGTCCTTTCTGAAAGTGGGACTCCTGTGAAATTAGGAGTTAGGGTGCTTCTAAGGATTTAGAAATTTAGAATAAAATTTTCAAGAAGGCCAGTGGTTCATTTTACATATTTCCTGTACAACAGGAAACGTTGTCTAGTACAACTGCAAGAGTGACAAGCAGTGACGAGTAAATATTTTCCAAAATACTTTGCAGAAGAATAATTTTAAAATAATGAGGTTTTTTTTATATCTTATGTTTCAGTAGAACTTTAATGTTAAGGTCAGTTGAGTAGCTGCCTCAGACAAATACATTGTTTTAGTTACGTCTGTTAAAATGAGCAAATGTAACTTGCCTATAAAGAATTTGGTGATATTTGACCTATTCATAGTGTAAAGTATGTAGACGGTTATTACTAATTATTTATTAACATTTTATTAAAGTACTTAACTATAAATGAAAGTTCATATGCCATGTTAATATTCATTTGAAAGCGGAAGAAACTTTGTAGCTAGTGACAATAAAGATATGCAATCATACAATTCAGTTTAACTGCATTACCCTTTTTTCTGATTTAACAGATATCAAGCCATGTTAAAGCAATTGACACAATTTATCAGTCAACAGATTTCTCAGGAATTCGTAACATCAGCTTTATGGTGAAACGAATAAGGGTAAGTAATTCCATTGTAGCTGTGGTTAGTTATTTGAATGCAAGGTGCGATTGCTTAGAATAGTGTTGTCTTTCTAAGATCTTTACCTGTTATTGGTGACTGATTTTTGTTAAAAAATATGCAGGTTTTTTCAGTGGTCTTCCAGTATTCGTTGTCACTTTGCAGTGTCTTCCATTATTGACTGTGGGCAATTCAGTGTCCAGTGTTAGAAAGTTTGTTGTTTATATCAAGGGGGTCAAATGTATCTATTCCCAGAGGCCAGATGAGTGGCACAGGACCAGTCCATGGTCTGGATGAATTGTGAAGGACCAACCCTATGGATAACTTATCCCCTATTCCCTCCTCCCTCCCCCACCTTTAAGTTTTGAACACTTATTTAATAGATCATTAACATTTTAGGAGAAAGAGTTTATTAAAGAGCTAACACTCCGGGCCCTCTAAGGTGTGATGTATCAAAATACGCAAAACCCTTTGAAAACTCCTGCAGGAAAATTAGGGAAAACTTGCTGTTCCAGTACTGAGGGTGAGGGGAAGACTACATAAAAACGGTATTCTAACTTCTTCTCTAGGCCCCTTAGGGTTTCTTTTAGACTGCTAAAGGTAAAATTTCTGTATTTAGTTAAAATCTTGGGCCAGCTTGAGCATTTATACACATACTTTTTTCCCACGACGTGCTGAAGATCTGCTGCTCTGCATGCGAGCTGAGGTGAACTGCGCTGCGCCATGTGCAGTTGTATAATTGGCGAAATGTGCATCAGCATGCAGAAAATGGCTTTGGTGTGCTTTTGAACTAAAGCGCCTCCTTAGGTGTTTTAGTTTAAAAGCATGCCACCACCGTTTTCTCAGCACTGATGTGTATTTTGCCATTATACAACTGCAAGCATTGCAGTACCGGGCACTTTTCAAAGCACCCAGCGCTGCAGCACTTGCATGTGTAAAAATGCCCCTTCTGCCTAAGTGTTTGTTTATGCGCTGAAAATTCACTTCTAGAGATTTGCATAGTAGAGCGAGCTGAACTGAGCAGTCTGTCACCCACGATATTGAACGAAGCGTAGTACTGAGTTGTGTTAAAGATTTTAACGTGGACATGCAGCTGTACTCTAATAGGTATCACAATTTTTTCATGTTCATATCGGTATGTAAATATCCTGAGCATTGACTTTTGCATCAGAAACTTTACTTTCTAAAGTAAATATACGGGGCTTCTGCTTTGCCAAAATAGAAGACCAATCCCAGAGGTATAGAATTAAGTTTATAAATATGTGCTGCTTCTTTTTTTTTTTGGTACTCATGAAAAGACTTTCTGGAAAAAGCTTGTTTTGAACCAAAGTAAGCAATTAAAAATAGGTGCTGATTTACCACATAAGTGCAGTCATTTGGTCTTCAGTTCAAGTCTCATGTTTTTCCAAATAGTAAACATTAATAATACATAACATCTATAATTCTCTAAATATAGAATTTATTATTTAACTGCATAGGGAAATTAGTAATAGGATGCGTTTCTTAGCAAGCTTTCATTAGCCAGACAGAAATTAAATGTCTCATGAAGTTTACACTCGATTTACTTTTAGATCAACACGACTGCTGATGAGAGAGACCCTTCCAATCCCTTCAGATTTCCTAACATTGGTGTGGAGAAGTTTCTGGAACTGAACTCAGAGCAGAATCATGATGATTATTGCTTAGCTTATGTATTTACAGACCGTGATTTTGATGATGGTGTCCTGGGTCTGGCTTGGGTTGGAGCTCCTTCAGGTAATTAATCCATAACTACAGTATTTTCTATTGTGAATCAAGTATTTATGTATTAGGAAAAGTAAAAGGTACTGACTCGCACAAAATAGTTCGCTAGCTTAACTGGCTCTTCACAGTTCTCCTTGGGTAGTATTTGAAACTGTATTGGAAGAAGTAGTACTCCATGAGCCCTTATGATTTGAGGTGCATCATTTCCCCAATTCATAGTTTGTTTGGCTGTTTTTTTTCATTATAGCACCTTGCTTCTCTGTGCGGATGAAGGCCCGTAAGTGTTTAGGTTGCTTTTTATTTGCCACATTTGCATAGGTTCAAATGATCAGTGGAATAAGACATGAGGCAGAAATGTGCTGTCTAAATTAAAAGCGGAGATCCATATGATTCTCCACTTCATAGTCTTTGATTCACAGCCTGTTGCAGAATTGTACTCCAGAATCAAATCAGACAGTTATAGAGAAGTAGGGCTAGGGCTAGAAGGGACCTCAAGAAGTTATCTAGTCCAATCCCCTTGCCTGAGGCAAGATAATCTCTGTCCAGGTCATCCTATTACAAATCCATGATCCAAGATGTTATCCATTGTGCTGACTTATTAGCAAAAGTACACAGTTAACCCTGACAGAACCACAAGGCAGAACAACCCTAACCCTTCCTAGGTAAAGCAGGGGGACCATAGTGTCCCACATCCTGCTGCTGGAACAGTTGTAAAAATACACCCTAGAGATCCAAGGAAGAGGTCCAGGCCCCCACTACAGAGATGGGCAAAAATCCCTCACAGTCCATGCCCTCAGTCTGACCCTGGAACAAGATTCCTCCCTGACCCCCCACCTATGGCAGTCAGTCTGACCCTGGACAGAGGGGCAAGACCCTCTAGCCAGGAACCTCTGGGTTTGTCCCAGCAGGAACACTGGCACACTCCGTCAAAATCCTGCAGCCAGCACCCAGTGCCTGTGAGGAAGGCCTAAAAAAACCCCTGACACATTGCAGGACAGCAGCGAAAGGGAAAGAATCCTTTCCCAGTCCCATTCAGTAACCAGCAAAGCCCAAAAGTATGGGAAATACCCACAGTAGAACATGGGCATAGCTATACCTATATGTTCCCTGGCCTGTGACTGTCCAACCTCTTATTGAACATCTCTAGTAATACTGAGTCCACAACTTCCCTAGGCAATCTATTCTGCTAGCTCACTGTTCTAACCCTGAAGCTTTTCCTGATATCCAATCAAAACCTACTTTGCTGCAATTTCAGGCCACTGATCTGTGTCCTGTTCTCTGCAGCAAGAGAGAAAGCTCACTGTTCTAACCCTGAAGCTTTTCCTGATATCCAATCAAAACCTACTTTGCTGCAATTTCAGGCCACTGATCTGTGTCCTGTTCTCTGCAGCAAGAGAGAAAAAGTGTTTTCCCTTTTATGGCAGCCCTTCAAGTATTTGAAGACTGCTATCATGTCTCAAGTGTCTTTTCCCAAAGCTGAACATGCCTAGCTCCTTCAGCCTCTGCTTGTACGACTTGTCTTCCATGCCCTTTATCACTTTTATCACTCATGTCTGGATCCTCTCTAACCTCTCCATGTCCTTTAAAAAATGTGGAGCCCAAAACTGCCCACAATACTGAGGCCAAATCAGAGCTCAGTAGAAGCACTATCACTTCCTGTGTCTTGCACCTAATGCATCTGTTGATGCATCCCAAAACTACATTCACCTCTTATGCAGCTGCATCACAGTGCAGGTCATATTGAGTCTGTGCTATACCAGTATTCCCAAGTCCTTCCCTGTAATGCTGCCATCCACCCAGGTGTCACTCATTTTGTATTTGTATATATGTTTAGTCTTCCTGAGGTGTAGCACCTTGCATTTGTTAGCATTGGACATCATCCTGTTAGGTCCAGTCCAGCTTTCCAGCCTGACATCCTTCTGAATTGTGGTATCATTCTCCAATGTGTTTACAGTCCTTCTCAGTTTTGTGTCATCTGCAAACTTTCTCTGGAAAGTGTCAGTTCCAGCATCCAAATTGTTAATAAATATGTTGAACAGCACTGAGCAGAGCATAAATCTGTGTGCAGATAGGTGTCTGCAGAGAGCCTGAAACATTTCCTCTGCAATTGTTCTTTCAAGATATGCTGTTTCATTTTGAAATGTAACTGAAACTGTTACTTTCAACTATGCGTCTTGACTCTTAGAAACTTCAGTGTATATTTTTGGTAAAAATGCTCTGCTGTTTCTGTTGGAGAAATTTTAAGAGAATCCTTGTGATAGCCTGCCTTGGGACTATATAACTGCAGTAGTCACCTATGCCTGTTGAAGTGTGATGTAAGAAACTCTATTTAAAGACTCATCTTGTCCATTGGAAAAATACTTTTTACCACCTGGCAAGACAAAAAGTCATTCTTGTCCCTGTATGTAGGCAGTTTTCCCTCTGCAGAAAAGATTCAGCATTGTTAGCACTGAAGAGGAGTTGAATATTACTGAATTTTGACTTTTGTTATTTAATGGTTGGTGAAAACTAGTTGGAAGGCTCATTCGAAGTAGTCATTCTGCAAATATTGTAATAACTGACTAAGAAACATTAAACAATTCCAGACCAATACCGTTCTGTATGTTCCTGTTCTCGGCTCGCCTCCTTTTTATTATCAGCAAGTGTCATTCTTTTGCTACAGATAAGGTTTGGCCTTTGTAATATGTTAGAAAGGCTTTTTCTTTAGGCAGGTCTGGCACTAAAACTGTGTCCTTCTGCCTTGTATCAAAAAGACAGCCCTACAGCAGCATCTTGTCATACTGGGCTGCACTCTGTGTTCTCTCATTATTTTTGGTCAACAAATTAATCTGCAAAGAAAACTACTTCTGCTGTGGATTTTGGTGGTATAGATTTTAATTTACAAAACTTCATTCTAGTTTGGTGAGATTTTATCAGTAGAACTGACAAAATTACTACTGTACTTCTCTTGCTTATGTTTCTGAAAATGTAACTTGAACTTCCTAGTTTGATTTCCTGAAGCTGCACTAATTATCTGAAATAAAGTGGTATCAAATGTTGCAAATAGCAGATTTCATCTCTTTAATTAGAACGTTAGTGGGAAAAAATCCTGTTTTGAAGAGAGACAAAAATATAGCCAGTGCTCTTCAATCTTTATAAACTAATTGGATCACATGTGAACTATATTATAAAATACAAGATTTTTTTTGTCAGTCAAAATTTATTTCAAGATAACCTTTTCTACTGTAGATTTTTCACATCTCTGAATTTTTTTTTTTAGGGAGAGAAGGGTTTTGTCACACGTGCATTATATGTGCTTGTTAAATGTTACACTAGCAACGGATTCTAATTCCAGTCTTATTTGCCAGACACTTTGTGAGTTAGCCATGTGAGCTAACTAATCTTGTTTTTTCACTCTTCACCTCTGAACGGATTAGGTGACTGTTTTTGTTCCATCTACAGTAAACATGAAAGCCACTTATCATGAGTAACAGATTTATAGATTATTTGGTTGTGATACCTTTCATTCTAACAAAATATAATTCAAGTAAAGTAGTAGGCATTTTTGTAAAATGTTGACTCATGGCCAGAAGGCGAGGTGGTCTTTACAATTACATCTTCAGTGCTGTTTAGGGATGCACCATCTTCAGAGCCTTGTCAATTTAAAAATAAATCTTAAATTGCCAACAATAAATTGTTTCTTTGACTGCCCCATGCTGCTTGTTTGTCAGACTGATCAATGTAGGAGGATGTTGCTAAATTTGAGGTGTTTAGAAACACAGCAGATGCATTTGTTTATAGGCTAGGTAATTTGGAAACTGTCACTGTGTAGTTTCTCTTGGATGTTTTGCCAGTGTTGTTTGTTGCATGCAGAGTCTTAGAAATGTGACTAACAACTTTTTCACTATCCGTACTTACTGTAACTATAGCATTTTTTCATGGATTTATAAAGGCTCAGTGCAAATTCCAGCCGTGTAAAACTTGGCTCATTAATTTCAGTGCTAGCAGGAAAGTGTTTTAACTGGAAATCAAATTATAGTTATAAAGGTAGTTATTTGCATTTCAACCACTGGAAAATGTCAATTAAAAAACTGTAAATCAAAGTTAGCATATGACCAGTCTGATTTCATTCTGTTTTTCTGTACGTTGTTTTCAAAACTGTTTTGGTAAATAAAACTTAAATTTCTAGTCTCTACTTTAAGATTTTGAATAATTAAAGAAAAAATCCATCTTGTATAAGCCCAGATTCTTACCAAACATTTAAATGCTGTTGTAGTCTGCAAATAAATTGTATGCAAATTTTCTTTTCAGGGTAAATTGCTTCATATTACATACTTATAAAAAGAAGTATCAGAGATCATAGTTTTAGAATATGATATTGTAAACCCCTAAATACGACGTTCACCACCTAGACAGTCTTCTCAGTATATTGGTATTGAACACAGTTTTTTTCCACAGCTGACTTTTTCATTCTTTCACTATCTTGTCCTGTCCTACTACCAAGAATAAGTAGTCGTTTTTAAAAATGTGAAGGCGACAAAGAAAAGGAACACAGTAAATTACATAAAATAAAGGATGCTGGAGAGAAGGCAGACAAGTTCTCGTACTTGTCTCATAACACAAGACTAGAGGAATGGAAAGTTGAATTAAATCAAACAATAAGAAATTAAAAAGGAGGTATTTGTCTGCATTATGAGTGTTTAGACCATAGAACATAGTGCCATAGAAAACTATGGAATCTAAGAAGGACAGATCAGCAAGATTTTAACAACATCCAGGGTTCTAATCAAAACTAGCAATTTTGGAAGCAATATCAAGCTTCAGATCTTAAAGTATTTAAGTATTAATTATTAGGTTTAAAACCTGCTGTGTGAGAGGTGTTTCCCCACATTTACCTTCCTGCCTCTAAAATATCTGATTCTGACCACTTATAAGCATACTGGACACCATAGGCCAGAGGTTCCCAACCACCAGGCTGACTGAAGGGTTGGCTGCTGGTCATGGCTTGGACCCCTGTCCCGAAGTTCTTGTTTGCATTTTTATATCACTAAAATCTTCTCTAAAAGAGGTTTGCAAGTGAATTTGCCTTGTGTATATATACCATATTATACAACCGAAGAACCCTGTGCTGATTCTTTCACCCACCAGTTTTGGTGCATAAAACCCACGTAAGAGGAATGTCACCCTTAGTGCCTGCCTCTCTTATTATTTAACATTCATGTCTACCAAATCTCTACAGACTTACCTAACCAGTGGGATGGACGGCAAATAGGTGTAGAATGTGCAGATAGGGGAGACTTTATTGGCCTTTAGGAAGAATTTTAGGAATTTTAGGAACTATTTAAATAGTCTAGAACAATATAGATACATTTTGTTAATACTTGCTGCATTATATCGTGTGACTGAAGATAAACTCAATGTTGATCCACTTTTTTATTCCCTGCCATACAAATCTGGCTCTATATTACCCTTCCATGTGTGTGACTGGACACACCTATTCTGTTATGGGCTATTTTGCTGTATTGTGTTTAACTTTAGCAATACACCTTGTTTAGAGAGCATATTTTAGATATCAGAAATACTTAGTAATAGAATCAATGAATCTCAAGACATTTTTCAGACATTGGGTGTGACCTAGTTAATGATCTTTTAAATATGTATATGATTAACCTACCCTTTGAAACTGCACTTCAGGTTTAAATTATACTGTGGAAAATGAGTCACTTCAGCTTTCCAGGATGTGCAGTTAGTAATTTTAGGCCTTTATATGAACATTTGTGAATGTTATGCTCTTTTTTTCTCCCCCTTGATACTGGAAATGATTTTCTGTTTTTAGGAATAATGTGTTTTTACTTAAAATGAGAGCCAAGTAGGGTATAAAGAAGAAACTTACGTGTTTCATTACATAGTTTTTGGTGTTGCACTACAACTGAGATAAAGGTAGGTCTGCCTACACACTGAACATCTAAAATACATAGCATGAAATAGCTATTGCAGAAAAGCTAACTTCCCATGTACATGCTCTGATTATGAACTAAGGGCAGGTATGCAATTAAGGTTAATCTGCTTCAAAAATGTATAATCTTAACTTCACAAAAGCCCTATTGGTATGATGAGCTTCTACAACGAGTGCTTGTGCAAAATAACTTTTAAACTTTGAAATATCAGCCTGCCTGGTTTGCACTAACACCCCTGTGTTAGACAAAGCTGTAGGTTTCAGCTAGGACTTTGAACAAGCGATACAACTCTCGCTTTTTTTATAAATCTTTTATTTTTTTAATACAGGGAGCTCTGGGGGAATATGTGAAAAGAGCAAACTTTATTCTGATGGTAAAAAGAAGTCCTTAAATACTGGAATCATCACTGTTCAGAACTATGGGTCTCATGTCCCACCTAAGGTTTCTCACATCACTTTTGCTCATGAGGTTGGACATAATTTTGGTTCCCCTGTAAGTATTATCTCTTACCTTATTACACATGTTCAGTGTTGTGGGGGGAGGAGGTATACTCCAAATACAATGCAAACATTTTGTAACTTTTACTCCCTTTGTTCTTGTACAGTATGCTAAAGAAACTCTTCTATGAGGAAAAATGAGGGTTTTTCAGCTAAAGCTATATGAAGTAAACCCTTTTATAAATGTTTTGCAAAGGGGAGAACTCTGTACAGCATGTTTTGTGAATTAAATGTATTCTTTATGTAAGCAAGTTTTACACTCACTCATAGCTTCTCAAAAATGTGCATGTACGTTATGATTCCTTGGGGGGATTTGCTTTTATTGGACCAACTATGTAGTTGCAATAAAGTTAAGCAAGCTTTTTGAATGCAAGACATTCTTCCTCAGTGAGACCTGAATTCTAATTTCACTCAAAAATTAGTTGAGTGGTAGCATACAAGCTCATGAAGCAAAACTTTTGCTTAGCTGAGTAAGAAGACTTTACAACCTGTGAGGATAAAACTGACCTTTCTCTGTGACTTGTTTCTTTGTTTATACCTGAAAAATTTTGTAGTTATGAAAGCTAGTAAAAAAGCTGTCTGAATTGCACTGGGAATAGGAAACAGTTGTTTGTTTCTTCCTTATTTTTGAAGATGTTTAATTTGTGTGACAGGTTTAAGAAGTAAGAGCAGCAGAAATAAAACCTTACTTGTGAATGACAGTTTGCCTTTTTTGTAGATGTAACCTTTTAGGCTAGGGACAGAAATTACACATACATCGGTATAAGTGATCAGAAACCAATCCAAATCTGTAACAGAACCAGAGGTTCAATGCGCACAAACTGCTTTCACAATGGCCAAAACCAGTTTAAGATGAACCTGAATGGATGTGTTATCAGACTTTACTGATTTCGGTTAAATCAGTTTATTGAATTTCTGTCCCAGATCATCTGCAGATTCAAGTTAACTCAGTCCCCCAACATCCCAGATTGCAGGGTGGGTGAACTAGCCTTGGCTCAAGCTGTCTGCTCCAGCCAAGCAGGGAGGCATGCTCTAGCATCCCCTGACTTCTGGTCTGAGCCACTACAGGCATGTGGCTGCATTTCTGGAATCAAAAGTGAATGTGTGTTCACTTGCTTATTGGTTCAATCTATGCAGCTTAGACTAACCTGGAAAGATTGAATGAATTCTGCCTCTATCTTTTTGACTGTGTATACTTAGCCTTAAAGTTTAAGTTTTGGGACTAGTTTAAACTTGAAAATTAATGCTGAATAAGGTATAATGTGAATTTTAAAGTAGATAACTTGTTCTTGAATAACTCAAAAGTTTTGATATTTTTATTTTGGAACAAGTAATGCTCTGTTGAATTACTTAGGAAAGGTTGCTGAGAAATTAGTCTGTGTAGACTACCCCTTTAAAAATCTAGGAATTTATCTACTAAGCTAATGCCACAATTCTAGAGACCCCCTGGCCCCACCAAATATTTTGAAATGTAAACAAAAGCATGGCTTAATGAAGCTTGGAAATCTGTCTTAATGGAAAAAAAGTTTGGATTAGTTGGAAGATAATTATTTAATTTCATTTTTTTTACCTGTGAAGGTCATGTCATGTCACTGAGACTATACTCAAGAGATCTGTAAAATGTATGCTTGTATTGCATTCAAAAAGTACATGCATCTTAAAATGTCCTTACTGTATATTGTATCAAAGTTATTACTAAACTGATTATAATGATCTTGACAGTATATTTTCTTCATCAGTTTAGCCCCTATTTGATCAGCCTTGGCAATTTATATGTTATCCTGCCCTTTATGCATCATAACAGGCATTGTTATAAGTGATCAGTTTGCTATAGTGCTTTGCTTTATGCAGCTCTCCTACTCTTACACCCCAAAGCATATTGTGTTTAAGTCTTTTTTTCTTTTCAGTGCAAGTACATACTGTCTGTAATGTTTCAGTTAGTCTTCCAGGTAGTGTCCCATAAAGTACTGGTTGCCCTTTTAAATTCTCAGCGTGTACATCTGAAGATGTCATGAACTGGGACAGGGTACTCAGTGGGCACTAACTTAAATTATCTTGTGCTTGTATGCAGAACTACAGTGATTCTGTACACCAGTCAAACTGGCTAGATGTGAACATCTGTCACACATCTGAATTGCAAGGGTGGCAGTAATGCTCCCTGGAAACTCTGTGACCATGCCCACTCTGCCGTTTTCTTGTCTCACCTGCCATACACTGTTGGAAATGCAGTAATAAGAGGGAGGCTGCCTTGCTCTTATTGTAAGGACTACCTGGATTATGGTCATGAACTGCTCCATACCTTCCTTACACCGTGTCCCATGCCTCGCAAATGACATGCTTGCAGATGGATGCAGATGTTCTGCTGGTCACTGATGCAACCCCTCCCTAGGCCTTCTGACCCCTTGGCTTCATAGACCCGCTCTGGCCCTCAGACCCCTTGGTCTCTCTCCTGGCTGTTCTCCAGTAGCCAGACCCCTCCAGCCCCTCAGACTCCTCCACTCCCTGGACCTCACTTAACCAGTCCCTGGGCTGCCAGACCCCTCTGTCTCTCTCACGCCCCACTCCAGTTGCCAGACTCCTCGGTCCCCCTCAGGCCTCTCTTGGGTGTCAACTCCTCTGTATTTTCCCAGCCCCTCTCCAGGCCCTTGGCCCCATCCAGCCCTGTGCTCTATTCCCAGCCTCTTTCTAGGCTGCTGGACCCTTCCAGTCCCTGTACGCCCGCTGAGCCTCACTACACCTTGCTGGGCCTCGCAACTCACGGCCTTGGACCCTTCTGGACGCCCCCCATGGTCTTCCTTGCCAAGTGCTTTCTGTCATGGTGTGCTCCCTTAGCCTTCCCCCTCTACAGGGTAACCCACAAGGCAGTGGGAGCTGAGGCTTTCTGGCACCCTATCCTTGCCTTTCCCTGGAGTAGCCCATGTGTGGCATTTCACAGAGGCTGCCCTGCCACAGGCAACACCACCACACCAACCAGTTCCAGTAGGATGCAGTTTTTGGTCTTATCCAGGACTGATCTTCAGGCCTACCTGCTCTTGCTTGCCCTTCTGTGGGCTCTCCCTAGATATCCAATGCCACTCCTGGGCTGTTAACCACTGGGCTCCTTGACCCTGGCTCCATCTAAGGTCCCAGCTCACTCTCGGACCCACCGGCCATTGTCATTCCAGAGCTGCATGCCCCTTGCCCCCTTCCTCTTGGCTGTGGCCTCCACCAGGGAAACTCTGTGCCTCTCCTAGGTCCTGACCCTGCCTCCAGGCCAGTCAAGACTCCAGGGTCTCCCAGCTCTGGCTGTCTCTTGCATTGGGCTCTCTTACCCTTTGGTCCTTCCTGGGCCCAGCATAGGCCAGTTGAGGTTCTCACGGTCAGTCCTCCCATTGTCGGACCCCTCATCTCTGTGGGTCCACCTTCTCGAGCCCCTCCATGTCTCCCTCTCTCTACAGGCTCAGAGCCCTCCTGAGGTCTTGCTACACAGCCCTGTTCTTTCCCGGGCACAACTGGACCCCTCAATAGATTCATAGATGTAGGGTTGGAAGGGACCTAAGTAGATCATCAAGTCCAAGGTTCAGGCCCGTAGCCTCTCTTCATAGGGTCTGCCCTGCTGTCCCCGGATCATGCGGGTGGCCTTCCTCTGGACCCTCTCGATGCTGGCCACATCTCTCCTAAAGTGCAGCACCCAGAACTGGACACAGTACTCCACTGTGGCCTGACCAGTGTCGCATAGAGAGGGAGGATCACCTCCTTGGCTCTGCTTGTGATGCATCGGTGGATGCATGACAAGGTGCAGTTAGCCTTACTGACCGCATCCTCACGTTGGTGGCCCATGTTCATTTTAAGGCCCCAAAGATCTTTCCCTGCCTCTGTGCTTTCGAGAAGGGAGTTCCCCAGCCTGTAGGTATGCTGCTGGTTCTTCCTTCCCAGGTACAGTACCCTGCACTTGTCAGTATTGAATCCCATCCTATTCTCATTCGCCCACCCCTGTGACCTGTCCAGGTCCAGCTGTATCCTGTCCCTCCCTTCTAGCGTGCCCACCTCGCTCCAGATCTTGGTGTCGTCAGCCAATTTGAACATGGTGCTTTTTACCCCCTTGTCCAAGTCGCTAATAAAGAGATTAAACCGTGCAGACCGGAGGACCGAGCCCTGGGGGACCCCACTGCCCACATCCCTCCAGGTCGAATATGACCTGTCCACCACCACTCTCTGGGTGTGTCCCCTCAGCCAATTTGCAACCCATCTGACTGTGTAGGCATCAGTACCACAGTCGCCTAGTTTTTTAATGAGAATGGGGTGGGAGACGTTGTCAAAGGCCTTCCTGAAGTCCAGAAAGACTACATCCACGGCGACACCTGCATCCAATGCTTTTGTGACCTGATCCTAGAAGGCAATCAGGTTGGTCTGACAGGACCTGCCCCTAATGAACCCATGCTGGTTGTCCCTGAGCATTGTCCCCCTGCTGGTCCTTCCCAGATGTGCTCCTGGATAATCTTCTCAAAGAGCTTCCCCAGGATTGAAGCAAGACTAATAGGCCTGTAGTTGCCCGGGTCCTCCCTCCTCCCTTTTTTGAAAATGGGGACCACACTGGCCTTCCTCCAGTCGTCTGGCACCTGGCCAGAGCTCCACGAGTGCTTGTAAATCATGCTAGGGGCCCCTCGATAACCCCTGCCAATTCCCTCAGCACCCTGGGGTGAGAGCATCTGGACCTGCCGATTTTGAACGCGTCCAGCCCCTCCAGAACTTCTCTAACTCAGTTCTCCCCGACCCTAGGCCTGGCAGAGTCTCTCCTGAGTCCATCCTGAACCTCAGTGGTGGAGTCCCGGTCCCTGCCCAAAAAACATGGAGGCAAAGAAATTGTTAAAATGTCTGCCTTTTCCTCTGGTGCAACCATCAGATTGCCAAGCATATCCCGCAGGGGCCCCACGTTACCTGGTGCTTTCTTCATACTCCTTATGTATTTAAAAAAAGACTTTTTGTTGTCCTTGATCCTTGATGCTAGCCCTAGTTCCGTATCTGCCTTAGCTTTCCTAACAGCCCCCCTACAAGCCCGAGTGATGGAGGTATACTCCTCTTTGGTGATAGCCCCTCCCTTCCACTGATTGTATGCCTCTTTTTTGGCTTTCAGGCATTGAATGCCTTTGGTGAGCTAGGGGGGCTTTTGAACACTCTTGTCCCCTTTGATTCTCGTTGGGACTGTCACCCCTTGGGCTCAGAGGATCATCTCCTTAAGGAACGACCACTCATCTTGGACACCCAGTTCCCCAACCCTCCAGGACCCCAGTGCCTCTCCTACCACTCTCCTCAACTCTTTGAAGTTGGCCCTCTTGAAGTCAAGGGCTACTGCCTTGCTGTTGGCCCTTGACACCCTGCGCTGTATGGTGAATTCCAGTAGGCAATGATCACTGTCACCCAGGTGGTCAAGAACCTGGAGTCCCCTCAGTAGGTCATCACCTGTGGCCAGAAATAGGTCCCCTGTACTCTGCCCTGCTCACAGGATTCACCCAGACCCTCCACCAGGTCTCAGACACTTGGCCCTTCTCTCAGGACTCACCTGGTCCTTTAGTAGGCCCACCAATTCTCAGCCCCTCTCCCAGGACTCGCCTGGTCTCTCATAAGGCCCCTGTGCTCTCGGCCTCTCTCTCTCTGGGCTCGTCTGGCCTCTCAACAAGGCCCAGGCACTCAGCCCTTCTCTCAAGTCTTTCCTTGCTCCTCAACAGGTCCACAGACTCAGCCTCCATATCAGGGCTCCGGACCTCACACTGGGTCCCCAGAAACCTCCTCCATCCCCTTAGTTCCTACTCAAACCTCAGAATGTCTTTCTCCTTGCTGGCATTCAGGAGTCTCAGCCTTCCTGCTGCGTGATGTACCTTCACCAACTCCCAAGATGTTACTGCCCACCGTGCTCTCAGGGTCTGGACTTATACCCTGTCTAACCCAGCCCTCTTCCAACCAGGTGACTCCTCTGATCATGTGTAACTACACCTGCCAGCCCCCTGATCAGCTGACTCTGCAATTAGCTGTGACCCCCAACTGCTAATTAGTCCTGACCCCCACCTGCCCATGGCTCAGCAGGCTTCCTGACCTCTTCAAGTGGCAGGCACACCAAGTATCCTGCCACAACATCCAGAAACAATTACTGTACCTCACTGCTCTGAGTTTTTTTTCCTGGTCTGTATTCATTTGATTTGATACAAAAGATTTGTAGATGAGGAATTCTCTCTCAGGATGCTGCTCTTTAAACAAACAAGCAAAAATTGACCTAATCAGTATGCTCTTTTCTTACCCTATTAGCTTTCACAAATTGGTGTGTTACCCCCAAAGCTAAGCAACTATGCAAGGGAATAAGAGGAATCTCTTCTGTTAAATAGATAACTGTGTTCTGATTTTGCAGCATGATTCTGGAATGGAATGCACTCCAGGAGAATCCAAGAGTTTGGGACAAAAAGAAAATGGCAATTACATCATGTATGCAAGAGCTACATCTGGGGATAAACTTAACAACAACAAGTTTTCTATCTGTAGCATTCGAAATATCAGCCAAGTCCTTGAGAAAAAGAGAAATAATTGTTTTGTTGGTATGTATTTAGTCAGTCTTATAAAACACTGAATATTCAGCCTAATTTCTAAAATTAACTTCACGTTTGGCATATGTACAAGTAAGGAGTTGAATATGTTTTCATGGTCAAATGTTGAAAAAACAAATTGTGCAGAAGATGCAGGCACTTTGTTTTAATGACTTCATTATGTGTGGGTTCTATGAGTATTGTCTACAGCGCCTTGGTCACTTATTGGGTGAGCGTTTATGAGGCCTGCAGGGTTTTGCAAGCCCTTGCTAAATGGGCTTTGGATTTTCAAGTGAGAGCGCTTATTCCAGCCTTTTATCAGCACTTTTTTGCCACAAGGTCTTTATAACTTCTTTGAGAGGGGCAGGATTGCATAAAAGAAGATGCTAACTTGGAAACATAAAGCAAAATTCTGTTTGATATCTATCTGCAGATTTTAAGTTTTGTAAGAGGAATTCCCATTCTTGTCAGTGGAAATCTATCTGTACATGACATAAATTTAAAATACCTAATAGGAAATAGTAAACTGGATAATGAACAACAGTACAGTACAAGTGTCCTTATAAATGTCTAGTATGTACCATAGCAGTCTTAGTGTCTATAATGCACATAAATGTGGGAAATAATGTGACACGTTAAGATTGAGTTCCCATATATGTCTTTGATATACATTTTTTCTAGTTTTATAAAAATACACTTATCTTTTTCAGAATCTGGTCAGCCCATCTGTGGTAATGGATTGGTAGAACAAGGAGAGCAATGTGATTGTGGATATAGTGACCAATGTAAAGATGAATGCTGTTATGATGCAAACCAATCAGAAGATAGCAAATGCAAGTTAAAACCAGGCAAATCGTGCAGGTATTTTATAATTAAGTTACATCGTACATTTCAGTTATAATTATATTATGCTTTTTCATTTATTCATACTTACAAATAGCATAGTTTGTCTAAATAAATCCATTTGTGAAGTGTACTTGTACGTGACAGTCTCATTTGTATTAGAATGCCCCTAATTTGTAGGACAAATGCAGTTAAAGGGAACTTCCCTAACAGTATTATGTTGCCTTTTGGCATTAAAGGTAACTTACATAGTAGAACATCTCTGAACTTATTTCTTATTGGTTTTTGGAAAATGATTAATGGTTAGAACCACTTATGCTGAATTTCACTGTGCATTGAGCCGTTAGCTTCTTTACCAAAAGCTGCTATTAAGTATTTTCTGTTTTGGACAGCTGTCTTCTAGAAACCAGACTGAGGCCCCTCTAATTTCATTAAGTATGTAGTTTTCCCAAATTTCTCAGGTGATCTTGAATCCCTTGCTTTCTCCCTCTTTTTCTCTTACACTTTTGAGCTAGGTAATATGCATGAGGGGGGAAAATGTATTCCAACGTATTTTTCTTGTTGGAAAGAGAATAAAGACCAATAAGATTTTTTTTTTTTTTTTTTTTTTTTTTTTTTTAATATCCACTGTAAAAGGTTTTCAAACTTAAAAAGCAGTATCAGCTTTTCTTGTGTCTCAACTATTTCTGGCTGCTTTGTTCTCATTACATGTAATATGCTTTCCATCCTCACTGGTGCCACAGTGCCTTTGAATCCATTGAATTAAATTTTTAATGGCTTTTCAGACAGCCAAGTTTAACTTTCGTC